TTAGTAAAACTTAAGGTCCTTACAGTGTTAGCTTTGAAATCTAGGTATTTGCTGAAGGATTGGAAGAGTTGGCTTTCAGACCGTCTACCTTGGTAAGATGTCATCTTCTCTGGTGTTGCAAATTTGGAAATCCAAGTGGCGACAAGAACATTTGCAATAGAAGCTGGGGTTTGGTCTTCCAAAAGAATACCTTCGATCCACAGAGTGAATCTATCGATAATAGTAAAGCAGATACCTAAAAACCTTTGCTAGATGGTCAAGGGCCAACAATGTCAATGTTAAGGTGCTTGAAACGTTCATTTGGAACTCTGAATTCAGCTGCTGGGGTACGTGTATGTTTGTGAACTTTGGCTCGTTGGCATGTTAAGCATGCTCTAGTCCACAGATGACAGTCTTTGTGTATGCCAGACCAAATAAATCTTTTTACCACCATCTTCATTGTTGCACGAATTCCAAGATGGGATAAGTTATGTATGGAGAAAATTATCCTTTTGCGAAGTTCTTTATGGATGTATAGCCCGGTTAAAATTAGAGGAGGTACCATAGTAAATTTTCTCATTGCTATGCGTCATAGGCATTTGTACTATTTTGAAGCTGGAATTTAATTTAAGAATGTTGAGGTCTTCATCGGCTTGGGAATTTGCATTAACTGTATAATGAGTTGGAGCTTGAGTAGCGATAATTTCAATTCTCGTGTGTTTCGATTCTTGTGTCTAATACGATGTTTTCTTCTCCAGAAATGTACCGTATGTCTGTAGCTAATTCAGCTATGTAGTTCAATTACTGGACTTGTTTTGGAATGGATTTGTCTGAATTCTGTTGGATTGCAAAGGTCACTTGAGCAAAAAGAAAATCTAAACGCGAAGAGTTTGACAGATAGCGTTTCTATCAAACTCTTCGCGTTGTCGATGTCGCCTAATTTTTTTTTTCTTTTGGTAATAGAAAAATTTTATATTTTTGCGGTTTACAAGATGCTGTATTAATCCATTAGTACATTGCATAAATGCTTCTTGAAATTAGGCATTTGATTAATACATGCATTTAACATTTACTTATTCCAATTAATCAAACGACTGTTGCAATTTATTTGTAATACCCTTCTGAGTTTCCTTAGCTTAAAAATGTGGGTTATTTTTCTGTACATTACTTCCCTTTTCGCATTTTACTTTTCCCTTCTCTTTTCATCAATTAGTTTTGCAAACTTTTTCTGATTTAAAGTCTCATTTTCGAAAATCGTGTCTAATCTCTTGTTGTGTAGAACTTTAACTTCTCCCATTCTCTACTATAATATTCTTCCAAAATTTGAATTTACAATTTTGCATTCCTTCTGTTAAAACTTATCGTATGTCTTAATTTTATTAATTTTACGAAAAATGTATTCTCATTTAATGTAAACTTTTGTAATTCTTTCCCAAAATTTAAACTTAAATATGGTCTTTTGGGGAAAAAACTAAAGCTTTTGCTTCGATATAAGTATACTCAAAGCATATTGTTCTTACTAAACTATTTAAGTCGCTGTTTACTGCTTATATGCTGCAGACGATGCAGGGTCGGAACTAGTTTTTTGACGCCCGATGCAATCTTTGTGGCTTTGCCGCTCAATGCATCCCTTAATTAAAATAAATAAATAAATAAATAAATAAATAAATAAAAAAATAAATAAAAATAAAATAAAAAAAATAAAAAAAAATATGCGGCCTCCGATCTGGCGTTGGCCCTGAGACTATGTGCTTTTACAAAATGTTTCTACTTTTTGAGAGGTTCAGGCATAATTTCCTAATTGAATTATCACATGGTAAGAAAATTTGATTTTATTAAGCTTCAAACTTATACACACAAAACGAAATAGAAGAATATACCAGGCAAAACAAATCTCTGAAAATAAAGAAAGTGGATTTTTTAAACTGAGAAAGAATAATTGCTCGGGAACTTGAATATTTACTGTGTATATTCGGCCCACCAGCGGCCGAGCGGTAAAGTCGCTGAACACTGGTAGTTTGGTCCGAGGTTCGAATCACGCGAACGGGCTGGCTGCATGGGTGTTTTCGTGGTTTTCCCCATGTGTAACGTGTATACGAGCCAGTTTCCCTTAGAAAGTCCTCCACGAAGGCATCCCTCCCCTTAGGCAGATAGCCCTAGTGTGCTTTGCCATAATTAAATACACCAACACCATACTGTGTATATTCTGCTATTTAATCCTATAGGAAGTCGTAGAAAAGGACCATGTAAAATACGTTTTTGCAATAAAACCGAGTACTTTTGGTATTAAAGAGATTTCAAAATCTATTAGATGTTACCGATTTTTAACAAAAATTGAGTATTTACAGACAAAATTAATTTTACGCTATTAATTATTTTTTAATGATAGGTAAACAGCCATATTATAATAACTAAGATTTTATGCAAATTTAATTTTTTATGTTTTCACTGTTTAAGGCATTCCACGAAACAGTTAGCGGCCAGGCAAGTAATTAAAATAATTCACAATAATAATAAAAAGAGAATAATTTCCTCTCCCAGTTTTCTCCATAGCTTTTCAGCATTTATCCTAAGTTATTGACCAGACAGGTTTAAGTTAAATTTAGTTCTGTTTCTTCTGACTTGATACAAACGCTCATTTCAGAAGATTATATAAATTAGTTGGCGAGAAGAAGGTTGACGGGCAGATAGAAAAACAAAAGATTAACAGTATTTGAGATTGATATGACTCTGGAGTCGTCTGTCTGCGTTTATTCCAACTCGTTCGGTTTCCATATAGTTTGAGATTATTGGGATTACTGTTTTTGGTGAAGAAGATCCGATGGTAAGTGAATGCTTTTTAAACGATTAGTCTGCCAAAAGGTGTACAGTCATGTTTTAGGCTTTCACAATTAGGTAATTAGTTGATGAATAAGTTCCATTTAATTTGTTTTAAATATTCTGCAATTATTTTATGTTAACTTTCAAGTTATACTATAAGACGATGTTAAAGAATGGTTATATTTCATTTTTTAACGAGCAAATTGATTTGCGTTTATGATGACATTTAGTAACGGAGCCATACCATGCCAAGTCTGAAGTGTAGCCTCTCAAGTAAAGCTAAGTTGTTTGGGTCGGGTGAGGCTAGTTAAAATTCTTCATTATCCCACAAATATCAATATATCAATAGTTTTTTTATGTGTATTTTAAATGGGGTCTTTTGCTTGATTTCTAGCACCGATCAAATATTAAGGCAAATGCAAAGAGCTAATGAATTTAACTTTGGCATTACATTATCTAAGTTAAGAAATAAATGTTTAGAGAACAAAAAAAAAAAAAAAAAAAAAAAAAAAAAAAAAAAGAAGAAGAAGAAGCTAATTCTGAAGTTTTGAATACGGAAGAACATATAAATATGATATGTGAATATAATGCTTAATATAGAACATATAAATAACACATTGTAATAATATTGTTACTTTTTTGTATTTATTTAGCTATTTTTAGTAGAATTTGTAATTAAAATTGTTTTATATTCCCGAGCAATGCAGCACGAGACTTATTTGAAGAGAAAGCTACGTCGAAAAAATTAAAATACAGGAGCACGCAAATTTAACATTTTAATAAATAGATATTTCGTAATTGTATTCTTTTGATATCCAGAAAAATCCGGAAAATACCAGAATATTCTCTTGCGTGATTAAAACGATTATCAAAGCTGGAGGAAAACATCTCAATTCAGTTGTTAAGAAAACTGTTGTTGTTTACTGTAGAGAATTCGGGGCGAGATCGTATTAGCTTTCTCTACGTTTCTCTGTTTTGAATTGTGTTCTGTAAAACGTTTTAGTAGTTTAAAATATAACTAATGCGAGATATTGAGATATTGTACGAATATCGCTGAAGAAATTTCAGCATTTTGTTTTAATTTCTTGGGATAAGAATAAATTTTATTCACTTAGCATCGAACTTGTGCATTCAGTTCATTACGAGCCCGTACGCACGCAAAAGTATGCTTAATACAAAATATAAATTCCATATAATATTATGCTTAATATAGAATATATAAATAACATGTAATAATGCTTTTAATACAGAATACATAAATAGCATATAATAATATGCTTCATATAGATGAGCGGTTCTCAAACCTTTTTCTAACGCTTCCTATCTAAAAAAAATTGAAAAGCTTAGTACCACTACTACATTTTACAATGATTATTTTTCAGTTTCTTAATAGAAAACAATAATATATATATTATATATATATGATCATATAATTTGATAAAAATTAGATTAAAAATTGGTTACCATTTTAATTATCAAAATTTAAGTTATAATATTTTAATTCTAAAATTTAGTGTGAAATTTGGGCCTATTAAGGAGAGATCAATTTCTTTATCTCAGGTCTTATTTCACTAAAATTTAATCGTAATCTAGGATCCACTTTTAATTTTGTTCTGTATTTCTTTTTAAAATAAAACGTAGAAGAAAATTATTGTTCACACAAATATGTTCTGCAAAAAGGCAATAAAAATTTAACAGGTTTATGTAAAACGCCTTTAAAATCTTTCTTTGGGTTCAGCCCACCTATTTTTTTCTTGTGTACCACCGGTTGAGAGTCGCTGATATTTTATTATATAAATAATATGCTTAATATAAAATATATATAAATAATATATAATTATACGTTTAGTATAGAATATATAAATGATATACAATACTATGCTTAATATAGCAGCTATTTCGTCAAAATTCTATGTCCGTTGCATTAAACTGACGTCAGAGAGGACGTCGTATATAAAAATACTTTATAAATTCAAGGTGTATGAATAAAAAAGGGTTACTCATTAAGCACCCTCGCCTAATATGTTTACTATTTTCAGTAAGTGACTTGACTGCCCTGGGAAGATATAAAATATTGTCATTTGAGGAAATTATTTATTACAAACCACATGTGCAAGCGATCCGCTGAAATAGAAGCACAGCTACGTCTTGAATAATTAAGTACTGTTTATTAAACATCGCATAAGTTACCACATCACAATAATTTATGATCACATAATATAATATATTTTTTATTGTATTATTTGATATTCCTATTTTTACCACCTCGATTTAAGAGTATGATTTAACACTCTGCATCTTGAATTCTTAGACGACTAATCCTTAAATTAGTAGGGCAGTGGTACATATTTAGCTTAACATTTTATTAGCATTAAACTAGAATAAACATATGAAAATTTTACTAAGCATTTAAAGGGTATAAAAGTCTTAAAACTTTCATATATTTAAAATTTTTAATATTTTTTTAGAAACTTTTGAAATTTCAACGGTAAACTATTCGAAATATTGCACTATAATCTGAAACTTTCGGGTTGCAATTTAATACTCTTTTTTCATTACATTGTTCAGAGCTATTTAGAAAATTAATGCACTGGGGGGGGGAGTGGCAGTTAGCCAGCTTAACGACTTCGGACTATCGAGAAGCAGGATGATCTTTTCGAGATATTGTTCACTAAGCTCAGTAAGTGCTTTAACATCATCTGTGACTTCGGTCGGAGAAACATTCTCACCACGTAAACATGGTAGTTGTTAACACAGCTAAATGGAAGAATACTAAAAGACTGACACTGCAAAGCAGAAAGGTGAAAGTTACCTTAAATCTGAACATTTGTTACTTAAAATGTATATACAAGCATGTAGGAAATTTTCACATGGAATTAGGACCGAGGTTGCCATCCTGGAAAGCAGAACTGAACACTAGATATTTATACCAATTAATAAAATGATTTTCATCTCATTTTTTAAATAAGTCTCATTTCGTTAGTGTAAATATTTGCCTTATTAATAAAGGTACCAAAAAACGACGACGTACGGTTTTCGTAATCATGTAGAGACTGTTAAATTCTTGGAAAACAAAGCATGAAAAATAAGTTGCGCTCCGTCTGTAATTCGTGCCACAAATCTTGTATCGCTATTAGATTCGCTAATCACATACACTTCATTTACACTACAGTAATAGGCATGAGGAAAATTGATAATTCCTTATATTCTGTCTCATTTAAACAGCGACTGGAGAGAGGTACGAGACTTAGTCGACCAAATCTATGTGAGAACAAGTTATCATCCACCATACTTTAGTTCGTTTGCCAGTATAGAGACTACTAGACATTTTTTGGAGGAAGAAACATGAAAAATCAAGTTTTTCTCCAGCATTCTAACCAGATTTGCTCTAACTGCAGCTGGATATGTTAACCACTTACACCACAAGAGAAAACATGTGGCATGCCATAATTTCAATCAAATTTCGTAACCATGACTTTACGCCTTCATTACATTTCTAAATTCTCTCAATGAGTCCGATAAATAGCAAGAAGAATTAAAAAGGAGATTTAATAATTATTTTTATAACATGAATCATTTTAATCCATAAAAGCGTGGTCAAAATATATAAGTCTCTAGTATACGGTAGTTACCGTCAAACGTTGTATATTAGTTTGAATAGAGAAAGGTGATAAATCATGCAGATATGCTAATTTAGTGTGTCGACCTTTATTTTCAGGATATTATTAACTTCACTCTTTGTTTCTTCATTTTATCGGTTTGGTTCAAGGCTAAAGCTGAAACTATACCCACAGACATCACCTTTACAGATACCATGCTGACAGAAACAGCTGAAGTGGTAACAGTAAGTTATTTACTTTTAATCTATCATTTTATTGTCAACTAATAAGCTCTTTAATGTTCATTGGAAATAAATTTAAGAAAGTATCCTATAATTAAATTGAAATTTGTAAGAAATATTATATATAATATTACTATAAATAACGAATAAATACATTGAACGTATGTTTCGTGGCGGTTCTGAAAGCGTTTCTCATAACATAAATGAACACAGGTATTGAAAAGCAGCTACGTGAGACGATCATCTTCACTAAAGACCAAAATAACCTGGGTGGTGGTCATAGAGAAAAAGTTCACTGTATAAACCAAATCTATACTAACACTAACACTACCGGAAACAACTAGCGACCCTGGTATAGTTCGACCGTCTCAAGCGCAATCCTGGTTGGCATTCTGCCAAAAGACATAAACTCGTCCAAAAGGGGCGGTATTACTTGCTGCGACGTGTAAGAAGGTCTTCTCTTCTCCGGAAAGAGCTATGCTGGAGGGAAAGAAAGTCCCCATCCTTCCACCCTATTTTGAGAATAATTCGGTCTGAATGGCGTATGCGTGTTTGCGCTCATGGTCGCGGATGAGGCGGTCGAACTATACTTGGTCAGTGATATGGTATTTAAATATGGTTTGAGAAAAAGCCAAGAACTATCTATAAAACTCAGTCAAGATTTACGCCTGCAGTCAAACGGCAATCTAAACTCCCTCAAATACCTTTTATTTCAGATTCCTATATTGTTAAATAACCCTGTAGTCGCAAAGTAATGCTCCGATTGGTATAAGATTCTTTTCTGAAGGGAAGAAATAGTTAATTTAAAAATTCAAATTTTAAACATGTTAAAGTCTACAATCTTCTGAAGGGGGTACTGAAAGCGCCTGTTGCTTGTTCAGTTCAATCTGGTCTCTTCTGTATGTTCAGTTTCTGTTCCGTTCAGTCTCTGTACAAAGTCCATAAAACGGTAAGAATACAAAAATACAAATATAGGATAATAGAATCATGAACGTCTCATTTCATGAACAATTTATCTAAACATGAAACGCTTCGGATGACGAACGATATCTCGAGTTATAAACGATCAAGTCGACAACATATGATCTTCAATGATGCTGTATAAAACCTATACCACAAAATTAACACTAAGAAACTTCTGGAAGCATCATTTTAACATTTTTCATTGCTTAACAAAGCCTGGCTGAAAGTGAATTCGGACTGGAGGAACTTACGGCCCGATTGTTTTGCAGCCAAGAACTTGAAGCGCTTTGAGATTTAGAACATTTATTTGTCATCTATGATAGTGTGCCTTCAGACAAAAACCATGAGTTAGGAAGTTAACAGTGAAGATGTGGAGAAGTTACTAGAGGATCACAAAACTGAGCTCAGCAAGAAACAGCCGCAACAGTTTCAGAAAGATGATTCAGTAACAAAAGACGATTGTAAGGATCTCTTCAGAAGAAGAAAGGAAAATTATTCTAATTCTTTAATCCTTGAAATTCGCAAGAAATTGAGTAATATGGAAAAGTTTCACGTAATGATATCATCCTGATAAAGCAGTAGCAAGCTACAGCATAAGGATATTCAATGACAATACCATGTATTTCTATTTACAACTTTGTCTCCCCTTCTTAAAATAGTACATCTCGAGCTGCATTATCTCGAAGACTAGGAGAACTGATCTTCATTATCATAATAAGCAAATAGTCTATGTACAGTTTGGCTAGAAAGTCCCTTTTCAGCTTAACTAAATGCGCGTACCAGTGTAAGATGATAAGATATTTAAGATTTGAACATCCAATTTTGACCACTGATATGGAAACAGTACTCCTGATGTGAATTCCAACATGATTGCCTCGTAACTGCCACCTGAATGCCCAGGGAAGAGAATAAAGTCTGTGCATTGACCAATTCATTATCCCGCCTTTCTGTGCTTTGTGAAGAACAATGGTTGATACCAGCGACTTCACTCTGGAGGAGCGCTTAGTGGCAAGTGCGTTGGTCCCACGAACGGAAGCACAACAGCGAGAATATAACACTGATAGATAGGTTTCGTGAACTGTTTAGTTTGGAGTCACGAAGTCATCAAACTTTGATCATGCGGAAGAAGAAAGTTTTTCGCTTGAGAAAATGTTTTGGATGACCCCGCTCTGGCCGTCTATCAACGTGCTGAAGTCAGTGATGCATTCATCTTGCATGTCGACCAGAAAGCGTGTTGTAGAACTTGAAATTAAAAGAAGTACAATGCGAATTCACATGGAAAGGGACTTACGCCTACAAGCATTCCGGCCAATGGCCATCAATGAACTAATGGATGATGACTTAAACCGCCAGCTGAAAGTATGCAGGATCTTGTTAGAGGCTTTCCACACCATTCCTGCTCTGAAGTGCCTTCTTTTCTCTGATAGCTACTCTATTTATCGGAGTTCGCAGGATAAGAACACCTTCATATGGGCAAAGGAAAACACACATTTTTACCAAGAAACTGAAAACAATCCTCCGCACCTCATGCTTTGGGAGAGGATGACTTACGAACAACACATCTTTAGGATTTTCAGGATTCCGTGACCCATGTTACTCTTCTTGAGATGTCAAATGACTGCTTTCTTCCACAGCTGCAGAATGCGGGCATAAACGACACGATTGTTTACCAAAACGATGGAACCCCTGCCCACTTTGCGCTTACTGTTTGTGAACGCCTGAATGAACTATTCCGTAGCCGGTGGATAAGACGTAGGTCCCCAAATTCACCAACTTCTTCCTTGTACTAGTATGTGTAGTATTATTCTTCCTTGAACTCCTTATCCGTCGAGTTGGCCTCGTACCTTATCTTCACCTTCACAGTTGCTACATTATTATTATTTTTTAATCGTGAACTGGAGACTATGCTTACGTGTGCGTATAGATCTTCGAAGTATTGCCCGCTGAAGAAAGTACATTCAGCGGTATAACAAATAAAATTACTCTCAGCTTTGTTTTAACTATTTAGGAATTCTTTAATGTAAGCAATATTTAGTTGTAATATTATTATAAGGGGAACACAGGACAAGACAGGAGCAAGTACAGGAGGCACCATATCATCTCTAAGAGCAAAAATGGTATTGCCCGGTGAAACCTCTCCGTATTTATTGAGAATTAAACAAGGTGATATGCAATCATACAGATGTTATACACTTGGATATTCAGAGCTGCATATTGTTGCATTTGGTGATGGTAATGTTTATAGGTAGGTGAGGTACAATAAAGTTCGTAACAATAAATAGATAGTTGAAGATGTAGTGCTCTGGGTCCCCGTTGCTTCCGCAAATACATCTGTCAGAGGAGGCTTTGTGTCTGTTGTAGAGGTAGAGTGGAAATAGGCCGTGGCCCGAGATGTACCAAGAAAGGAAGTAGGATGAAAAAGTGACATTTTCATCTACTTTAGGGAGGAATTCATATGTTAGTCTTCCTTGTTGTCAGTGATCCCATTGATGTTGCTATTGTGCGGTTGCAAGTTTTTTCATCTTGCATTTCAATGCTGACTTTGGCCACGGGATAGAGTGCCTATTTGGTGGATAACTGCGTCTTTAATGGAAACACAGTTCAAACGATTCATCTCATTGCTTTGTTCCCTGGTCGCAGATGCCACCGAAGTAAAAGTTAAGATTGGATTGAATTATTTAATGGTCAAGGTCTGTTTACCTACAAAACTGGATGGATAATTAAGGCAAAATACGCCAGGCCCTTCTAAGAAGAAAGAATTTTTTGTGGACGACGTTTTAAAAGAAACCGGCTTGTATTTACGTTAAAGTTGGGAAACGAAAAAAAAATCTTTCCTTTGCAGGTTGGAATCCTTAATTGGCCGAGTGAACATTACATATTATAGAAACAGTATACAAGAAGTTCATTCAGGCGTCGGAAACTGTGAAAATTCCAAAATAGATATTAACTACAAATTTTTTCAGTGGACAACACTCCTATATTATTGCAAGTGATATATAATTCGAAATTTCAGTTGCAGTTTGTGCTGTTAGATTTAAAAGCCAATTGTCTGGTGCAAGATGGAGATAATTTTTCCCCAAATAGGACAGATTTTTATGACGGATTACTTCGCAACGCATTCTTACGGGAAAGTTGTTGGAGCATTTAAAAGAGACCTTTGCCTGTGTTCAGGAACTTAACAAGGTAATGATTTTCCCCACCGTAAACTGATTTTGAAAAACTGAAAGTGTTCACCATAAGAAACGAAGTAGCTGCCCGCCTGTTTTAAAGCTCGTTAGGAAAATGGACGAAGTCAGGAATAAAAGTTGCAATCAGGAGCAAAGAGTGTGCGAAAAATGTCATTGCAATTAAATTAATGCTTTGCGAATTAATACTCAATCACAAATAATCGCTCTGCCTGGAGAAAATTCATCTCTGTTTTGCACCAAGAATATTCTTTTTAAAGCTAATAAAGTATATAAATCCTAATAATGAAATTACTTTCGGTCGAATAAATGTAGCATTTTATTAATTATGCTGTAGATGACGATTTTTCTTGTTAATTATATTTTAGATCCCTTTATGCGATGCCAATGAGACTTGTCAGCCTGTTACACCAGATTTTGCGGCAGGCGCCTTCAGTGCCTTTAGTGTAATTATAGTGTCTGAATTCGGTGACAAGACTTTTTTCATAGCTGTCGTTTTAGCCCTGTCTCACTCCGTAATCTCGGTGTTTGGTGGAGCAATGCTTGCTTTAATCCTCATGACAGCACTTTCGGGTAAGTAAAAATGATAAAAAAAAAGTTCTTAAATGGCACCTTTTATTTTGTGCAATAGAAATGGCAATTCATGAACAATTTGCTTGCAACAAGTTGTGTGTAACATTTCTGTTTTCGATATTACGCAAAACGAATTTTCTTCTTTAATAAGCTATACAGTTATCAAATGCAATGAATATGATAGTTCTAATAATGACGTAATCAATTAATAAAGTATAAAACTCGGATTAGAATTTTAAATAAATGAGTATATTTTCTCATTTTGTAGCTGGACTCGGGCTTGTATCTTCTCTGATTCCAGTAATATGGATGCATTATTTATCAGCACTTTTATTCTTTCTTTTTGGGATTAAAATGCTTAGGGAAGGTATGTAGCTGTATTAATTCCATTGAAATTGTTTTAGTTAAAATATCGATAAATTATGAAATACGTTTATTAATCACATATACTTACTGATACCTTGCTAGTTTTCTTCTAGTTTCTTGAAGCATTGAAGCAGCTGTATTAGACTTAAAGGAATTTTATGTGTCTTCCTGTTGTTGTGATTACCTAATTCTGTTATTTAATATAGGCATCTTTTCAGCCTTCATCATTTATATTTTTGATAGTTTTAGTTTAAGAATATAAAAATTACTTTTATTCAAATTTTTATATCTATCAACATTTTCTATACTTTTAGCTGTTTAAATTATAAAAAATGTGTTAAAAATAATCTAAATAAATGTATATGTATTTTCTGAGTTTTGGAAAACAGAAGGAAGAAGTGATCTTTTAACAATGGTGAAAGGGGTTTATAGAGCAAAAAGTTTAAGAACTCCCTGCCCCTGATCTAGAACTTAATAGCCTCCATATTCTGTCACCGATACAATAGCACCGGCTTTATCCATTACCAGTACCTCCTTAAACTGTTTAAGGAAATGTTGCCAGTACCCCTAAATGGGGATGCTGCTCAGGGCGGACAGTTTTGCTTTCCTCGTTTATGCAAACTTGTTAAGTCCCAAACACATTATGTTTCGGCCAAGAGGGACTGGACGTCGAAAGGGACAATTCTCAAAACCCGCATATTTCCAGGAAACCCAAGTAGCTAGGTTAGCATTTTCACTTACTACAAAGACTTGAAAGCCAAACAGTAATAGATTGTCGCTTAGATTGGGATCACGTGATCATTCAGCCGGTAAATCGTTTTCGTAGCTAGGCGGGACTTCGCTTCAAGCGGTACTCTTTTTTTCTAGGAATCCTCCCGTTTAAACCAGTGCTACCAGAAATCTCGGTTCACAGAAAAGTCCCGTCTAGCAGGGACCTTAGCTAGATGTGATAACCTCTTTTACAGTTAACACTGCGAGGGAATTCCCCAGCGACTCGGCACGTTGAAGAACCTCGCGCGTTCATTATGCCAGCAGTCTCAAGTTAAATGCAGGCCGAATACACGATCTGAAAAGAGCTGAGGAGCCATTTGTCTTAGCCCACAAGGGTTATTAATTTCGCTTTGGTATTTTGCGTCGAAAACTTTACAAGTCCGAATCACTTTTCAAATTGTTGTCACCAAATATTATCGCTCTGTATTATATTTCAAGAAATTAAATAGTGAAGAATCTGCATAAATGAATGTATGTCTCTCGCATTGTGATAAAACAATGGTACTTAGAGCCATCCAATTTTGAATAACGTACGTCTCCACCCGAATATGGGCATCTATCTGGAAGCCGAAATTTAGAATTTGTTTTATTACCTATTTCATATTTTTTAAAGCATTTATGAGTTTTTGATTAAGAAACTCAACGATTTCAAAGCGAACAATGGCAACACTGTACGGGGTGGAAGATAAAAATCTGAAAGGTTTCAGATTTTAAATTACGTCCAAAGAGACGTTTTTTAACATTTTGTCTGTTACCTTTATTTATTAAACCTGTTATGTCTGTTACATTTATTTATTCCTTTGCACTTAAAACCATAAAATTCAGTTCAAGAGCAACATCGCAAAACAGTTTTAAATTGAGCATATCATTTAGAATTCCCAATACGCAGTCTCATGCGCAAAAATTTTTTTTTTCTGTACAACGTTGCCATGGCTCGCTTTGAAATCCTTGAGTCTGTTAATCAAAAGTCCATTAAAGATTTACAAAATATGAAATCGATAATAAAACAAGTTTCAAGTTTCAAATTTGGTTTTCCACATGCCCATATTTGCAGGAGGTTTACGTCATTCAAAATTCGATGGCTCTATGTACCGTTGTTTTATCACAATGCGAGAAACATACATTTTATGCAGATTTTTTCATTATTTAATTTCTTCAAATATAATGCAGGAGTCTAACATTTGGTGGCAGCACTTTGAAAAGTGAAACGGACATTTATAGTGAACCAACGCAAAATCGCAAAACGAAAACAATAGTCCTTCAGCGACAAAGCCCCTTTGGACTTAAAAAAAAAAAAAAAAAAAAAAAAAAAAAAAAAAAAAACACCTCCTTTTTATCTCCAGCGCGCGGAAATGTGCATCGGAAACAGCACTTGTCAATAAAACTTTTCTGTTAATTATGGTATGCTATATTGTTCATTTTGTGTATTTTTTCCTGCCTACGGAGGAGCCGTGGTCTTAAGTTAACTATGGAGAGACGTTGGCCAATATTAATCCAGATAATCGGAACTTTACTTTTTCTTTAAACGATATTTATTATGAAAAATAATATTTTCTACTGCAGGCAATGTGTAAACAGATAGCTTATCATTATAAATAACTTTAAGCAAATAGTCAGTTATTGCATTTGAGTTAGATTTGTATTTTAAGAGAATAAGGCTATATTTAATGATAATTGAACATCCTCATCATTAAAGGTTATGAATATAAGTTAATTTTTTTCTGTATAATGTTACAATGGGGTCTCGTTGGTTGTTAAACTGTTAACGCACTTGGACAAACGCCAGCGAAGTCTTTGAATAAGATAAAAGATGTAGTAAACAAAGTTCTACAAAATCTTTTCGCTCGCTCAACCGAGCACTTGATTATTTGCGTCTTAGATCTTTAGTACTACGCCCCATATCACTATTTCTACACTGCTGGCCACCGTAAATGCAACATCCTGAAGGATGCATGCAAATAACATGAAATTTATAACATGCATTAGCGGAGGTGAGATATGCAAATAATTAGAATTTCAGCGCAGACGCACATCACGCGCGCCTGTTGGCGCCACTCTCAAAGCGCTATTTAAGGCTTGGAGTTTTCGACGATTTTCAAGTTCGGAAATTGTGGTTTTTCTTGTGGTTTTAGAAACAACAACAACAACAACAACAACCAAAAAAAAAAAAAAAAAACGATTTGAAGTTCGGCAATTATGCTTGTTTTTAAACTAGCGATCATCGTTAAAAAAAAAGTAAAAAAAAAAATTCGACAGAGGAAGGATAATGGCCTACCGAGAGTGTAGATTATCTTTCAGGCGAAATCGGTAGTCGTGTTGACGAAACAAACAACTGTAATGCGAATATGGGACCGTTGGATGCAGGAGGGTACGACAGACCGACGTGATCGATCGCATCCACGCTCAGTGCACCACTTCAGTAATGATAAGGAGGAACATTATGCGCATGACAGTAACAGATCGCTGAGTTCACATCAGGAACCATAGCACAGCACATTCAGTCTGTAACGCATCAATCCAGTGTATGCGCGTACCATTCGACGCCGTTTACAAGCAGAGTGGTCTGTCTGCAAGACATCCATTGCTTCGTCTACCCTTGAACGCAGAACCCACAGACGTCTCCGCCATCAAAGGTGCGATGAAAGAAGGAATGTGGACAGTAGAACTGGAATGAAATTGTCTTTACTGACGAGTCACGCTTCTGTCTGCAACACCTCAATGGTCGGATTCGAGTCTGGAGACACCGTGGAGAGAGGATGCTGAACAGTTGCGTTATTGCACCGCCACACTGGTCCTGCACCGGGTATTATGATATGGGGCGATATTGGATATCACTCTCGCACTCCTCTAATACGCATTGCCTGTACTTTAAACAAGCCAGCGCTACATCTCCGAGGTGTTAGAAGCCAGTTGTCCTTCCTTACCTTCAGGGCTTGCCCACAGCCTTCAACAGTATAATGCGTGACCATACGTGGTACGCATTGTCCAAGGGTTCTTTGTCAATCACCAAATTGAATTGTTTCCTTGGCCAGCTCGATGGCCGGATCTTTCGCCGATAGAAACATGTGGTCCATGGTTGCTGAACGATTGACCCAGATTACATCCCAAGCTGCCACACCAGATCAACTTTAGCAACGTGTGGAAGCTGCTTGGTCTGCTGTACCCCAAGAACACATCCAAAGTCTCTTCGAATGAATGCCAAGGCGTGTGGCAGCGGTGATCTCCAACAATGGCGGCTACACTAACTACTGATTCTGGAAGGAACCACACTTGACAGAAGTCCATAAATTTAATCATTTGATACTTGGTTAACATGCTATCTACTAAATAAATTTTGCTGTGATATCTCTTGTCTTTCTTGGTGTTGCAAGTTGGGTGTCCAGTCAGTGTATATTTATTTACCCCACTCAGCTCTCTCTCATTCAGTTTACTCCGTCTTCAAGCATAACGAGAAAAGATCTCTTTCGCGAGTGTATGATTACTAAAATTATGGCATTGGATAGTTCTTTTAAGGCAAGTTCAAGGTTATTAGTTTTCTTAAATGAAACAGTAAATGAGCTAACTATATGAAAAAAGATACTATAATTACCGGACTGTTGGAAAAAAATGACTAATAACTACCGGCATTTTTTATGACCTTTCTGTTTGTCTTTCTGAAAATACAAGTTTAATGTCGAAAGGAAATTTCTAACATTTGGTTGCTTAGTCGAAATTCCCGATTGCTAACCGGACGTGCTTTTCAGTTACATCAAGAAGGCACGTGGTAATGAAAAAGAAAATACCTTACAAGCTGTTCAAAATTTTGTTTGATTAAAAGCATTTTCATTAGCCATTTTATGTATTTTTTTCTCTTTTTTTTTGTCTTCTTTGGAATTCGATGATTCACTGTTAGCTAATCCTGCCCTGATGGAATTTCATTATTTTCGGTCATCTGCCCGCACTGAAAGTATCTAAAATTACAGATATTTATACTTTTTTGATGAGAGAAAAAATACCGGGTATTTATTTTCCCTTGTAACTATAGATTATGAGATTTTGTTTCGGTTTCATAAGAGAACAGAGAGTTAATTATTTAATAATTTCAGGTCGGAATGTTTACCTACATTTTGTAAATTCAAGCTGCGGTTTAACATTGAAGTAAACAGTACTCTCCATTTAAGAAGATTTTTGAACTTAGCAGCAAAATCATTTCATGTCAAGACCTAGAGAGTATTTGTTTGTGATAATTTCGCATAAAACTGAATCTCATGGAACAATTTGTTAAGGGCATAGACAAAAAATGGTTACAAGTTTAAATAGCTGTGTGAAAAATTCTGTTTCCTATAAAATACCAAGCTGATGGAAACTGTCACGTTTGTCCAACCGGACATTAGAATATTAATATTAGATGAAAACCTTCAATCTTATCATGAATGAAGATGAAGAGGAAGATTGGAGCATCCCCAAAATAAAACTCTATACTAAGGTTTCAGGATAATAATAAAAATCCGGACTATGCAGCCATAAGTGAAGGTATGCTGCCTAAAAGAAAATACCACAAACAGATCTCTATTAAGCAAAGAATAAAATAGTGCATGTTCTTTGACCAAAAATTTCTCTTTTATAAACAACTGTATTTTGAAAAAACCTATGAAACGCTTTATACCGAAATATTTACTTCTGAAGTACAATATTTCATTTCCCATATGTCATGAAAATTTAGAGTTCTAGCGATTGAAGAGGGTAATGTTAGATTTAGTGCATAAAGATAAAGGTGAAATTATGCCCGGTTGATACAGCTGTTTATTTACTGCAGAACTTGGTTGAAGTATACACATGTATAGCTTAATTATTGGAAAAGGCGAGTGCATTATTCAATGATTAAAAACGTTGTTTCAGATTTTTACAAAACGACGGTAAAGAAAGAAATGACAAATTGCATCTTTGCTGAACAAAGGCAGAGAGAAAAGGGAAGCTTGTATTCGTGGTGTGAGCTGAAGCTGCATACTTTTCACTCAAATAAATTGACGTTGTATTGCTTTATTACTATTTGTTTGATCTAAGTTTCAATTAGATTATATTTGGATAAAAGATTTTGCTTTCACTTTAGCCGTCATATGAATATTTTAAGTACTTTAGTTGTATGCGTCATTAACTTTATATAAGAATCATATGACATATTAACTTTGGAATATTGCACTTCAAAAGGATTTGCTACAAGTGTTTTAATATTTTCTGGTAGAGAAGGGAAATACACAAATAAAAAAGATCTGAGAGTCTGTTACAAATTTAAATTAGAATTTTAACTCATAGTTATACGTATTTATTTTTCTATCTCTTTATATATATATATTGGGCCATATAAAAAGTATCCGCGGTTTTTTGGTACATTTCATCAATTTTAATCAAGTGCATATTGACCATTATTATCTATGACTTTTTGACTTTTTTCGAGCAGCTTCTTAATTCCATCGGTGTAGAACTTCTGTGGTTTATCGTCGTAAAACTTGGCCAAATGATGTTCAGCGGAGCTTCGGTCGGCCAATTTTTTACCATCAACAGAATTTTGCAGAGACCGAAACAAACGGTGGATGCATCAAAACTTCCTTACCAAATTCCGTCAATTTGTTCCGAATAATCAAAGATGTGCGTTGCCGCGCATTGTCGTGATAAAAAACAACTCCCTTTTTTAAGACACAATAACACGCTGAACAAATACTAATTCAGAAGTCAAACAACAAAAATCAGCGTAATATGGCATGAAAATATTACGCTGATTTTTGTTGTTTGACTTCTGAATTAGTAACTCCCTTTTTGTTGGTCAATTCTGGTCGAGCTTTGTGGATTGCTTCGTTCAAACGGTCGAGTTGTGCACAATACAGGTCGAATTAATGGTTTCACCGGGTTTATCAATCAAATTTCTTTGCGATAATTCATATGGCACACAAGCATCGAGCTTCTTTTTATAGCCTGCTCTTTTCAAATGATTTCAAACTGTCATGTGGCTGATGTTTAGTGCCTGTGCTATTTCCTGACAGCTTGCGTAGCGATCTTGTTCCACCAGTTGCAAAATTCATCGATTTTTTCATTGATTGGCCGACCAGAGCGATGTGCATCTTTGACATCGAAATTTCCGAAACAGAATCAAGCAAACCACTCCTGGGTCTTTCGTTCACTCACAGCATTCTCACCGTACACTTCACAAATTTTTCGGCATGTTTTTGCAGCATCTTTACCTTTTTTATAGTAAAAAAACATCACATAGCGTATTTCTTTAGATAGTTCACTCATTTTCAAATCAATATAACTTTTACACGAGCAACGAATTAGAAAACCATCTTCACAAACAATGGAAGCTGAATGTCACCTTTTAAGCATACGTTCGTCTGAAACAATTGGGTGAGTGTTACCGGATATAGGTATCAGTACCATCTAGTGGTAAAAAATCGCGAAAGCATTTTATATGACCCAGTATAAAAGATAGAGAAGCAAATACACTGCTCGACATTGAAAATGCAACACCAAGAAGGAGTGGTCAGAAAGTGATGAAATTTGGAAAAGAAACAGAGACAGCAAGCAGCAATAAGTGATCTTTATTTCAAAATGATTAGTCAGAATACAGAGCGAGAACGGCATCCGGCTCAGTAGGCATGTAGGACCACCGCGCGAACGGCGAAATGCAGGAAAAAACACGCTTCTAGGCATAGAAGTCAGTAAGAGTGCGGAATGGTGTCCTGAGGGATGGCTCTCCATTCCCTTTCAACCATTTGCCACAGTTCGTCTTCTGAGCGAGGCAGGGGCAGAGTCTGCAAACGGCGTCCAATCACATCCCACACATGTTCGATTCGTGACAGGTCAGGAGAGTGGCCAGGGAAGCATCTGTATACCTTGCAGAGCATGTTGGCACATGCGAGCACTGTGTGGTCGGGCGTTATCCTGCTGAAAAATTGCATTAGGCAGCCCCTGAAGGTAGGAGATTGCCAGAGGCCCAGTATATTATCCAAGTATCGTTGGGCCGTTATAGTGCCCTGAATACGAACTAGAGGTGACCTGGAATCGTAGGCAATAGCGCCCCAAACCATTATGCCACGTTGTCGCGCGGTGGGGCGTTCCACAGTTACTGCCGGATTAGATCTGTCTCCACGTGACGCCACACACGTATGCAGCGACTGTCACTGGATAAACAGATGCGTGACTCATCTGAGAACACGACGTTTCTCCATTCTGTCATTCACATAGCTCCAGTCCGGCACCATTCTAAACGTTGGCGTCTATGCTGTGGGGTCAAAGGCAGTCTTCTTAACGGACGCCGTGAGTGCAGGCATGTTCAACCAATCGACGAGAAATGGTTCTGGTCGACACGGAAACATCCAGAGTATCATGCACATGCTGCAGAATCGTGGTACAAGTGACTTGCAGGACCACCACAGCTTGTCGGCGGATGCGTCGATCCACGCGTGCTGACGTCACTCTGGCTGCACCCCTCCTTCTTCCCACATTTCCTTGTTCCAACCACGTTCGCCATAGCCGATGCACCGTGCTCGTAACCATGTGGGTATCAGCTGCAATTTGACGTAAGGACCAACTCGCCCTTCTCAGTTCGAGTGATGATTATTCGTGAATTAAATCGCTCGGCTGCTCATTTTAACGACCATACCCTTCGTAAAGTCGTCTATCTGCTGGAAGTGCCTTTGTTGACGGCGGCCTGGCATTCTCTCCTATTACACGTATCCTCTGGGACAAAAACCAATTTTCTTGGATAATTCGTCTGGCAGAAATAACGAGACGAATTTGCCCATTCTGCAAGTTCCTTCCCTTATATCTTACTTCAAGTGCGTCGGAGAGCTGCGCATTTCACATCATTCGCAAAACTCAGTGACGTGCGTCTACTCTAAAATTTGCATAAATTTCTGACCACTCCTTCTTGCTGTTGCATTTTCAATGTTGAGAAGTGTATTTTCTAACAAAGCCAGTTTCTTTGATTGATTCTTCGCTGTCCAGTTCGACATTCTATAAAATTTTATTTAGCACTTAGGAAAGGCTTAAATCGCAATGAAACTGTGTATGACATCGAAAATAAAATTTAAACGTATTTTTAGACTCAGAATCTCGTTAAAACTACTAGTTATGCACACACACACACACATATATATATAAAATTCGTAAACATAATTTTGAATTTTCGTATAGCCTCCAGCAGGCTTATTTCTCTAAACATAATTCATTTCTATTCGATAATTTTCAATTAGAATTAAACTCATCTGGGGCGTTTTCTTTTATGTAAACTATCTTTTCGGAGATTTTAACAAAATCCAATGCAGGAGTTATATTAAATTATGGTTAAAATTAAGCAAGAAACGCAGTAGTTCATGCAATAACTAGTCAATTAAATATTGCAGCGATTCTTATTTAAATAAGCTGTGTGTATATTTTTCCATTTATTTCAGTACCAGAATTTAAAATCATATTATTTTTTCCTTTAGCAGTGCCTGATTTCTATATCTATTTACATTAAAGTAAATTGCATTACATGTCTCATTGCACTGAATTTAATACTATAATTAGACAAGAAACAAAAGCTACAGCTTTATTTTGATATTAATATAGTAATATGTCATTCTTAAAATCATAAAACAGCTAGGAATAGTTTTCAAGGATGACTAAAATAAGATTTAACATCTTCATGCAGAGTTGGGTCTTAGACGCTGTGAAAAAATTATATTTTTATACTGTTGTTCAATTAAGGAAATCGTAAAATGAAAAAGTATTATTTCTTTTGTTAGGTTATTTAATGAGTAGCACTGCCGGTAAAGAAGAATTTGAAGGTGTTCAAAGAGATCTGGATACCAAGATGGCTGCTAAGGTAATTATTATTTTCTGTATAAGCTTAAATACAATGTATTGAATATATTTATGTAATAGAAATTATCTGGAGGGAAAGCCCATGAGCTTTATTTTAAGCATGTCAACAGTATATAGTTGTAAATTTCTATAACTATTTAAATCTTTTTTTGATTTCATTACTGTTTTTGTGTGTTTTGATATTGTTTTATTTATTTATTTAACTTTTGCATTTAGGTAAAAATGTTAGAATTTATTTTGCATGTAACTGAATTTGTGGCTATATGTTTTGTATTTAAGTTTTTTTTTTAATACTGGATCATAGAGTTTTCAATTCTGGATTGGACAATACTTAGATTACTAAAATACACTATGGTTATCATAAATTAAGGAAACATCGCAAAAATCACGATTACTGAAAAAGTTACATGTAGAATTTAATGAATCTTACCCACAATATACAACACATAGTAAGGTATCAAATAACATAAAAAGAAATTACCAGACAATTAGAGTAGTATAGAAATTAGCACATGTACGAAATGAACAAATCGAAGGTGTCAGTTTGCTATAGGAAAAGTACCTTCAATATGGAATATAATCGCCTCTAGAAGCAATACAGCACATACAGCGATGGGTGATGCTTTCAATTATGCGGTCTATCAGTTCCATAGGAAGCGAGAGCCATTGCTCTTGCAAAGCAGTTGCAAGCGCGACAAGGGTCTGAGGGGGCGGATTGAGAGCAGCTAGACGTCTCCATAAAGTATCCCACTCGTGCTCAATAGGATTCAAGTCCGGGGATCGAGCTGGCCACTCCATGCACATAATTGTTTCCTGTTGAAGATAATCATCTACGATGCGAGCCCTGTGTGGTTTTGCGTGTCGTCCTGTAACAGGAAAACATCACCTATTGCCCCGGCATATGAGCGCACATAAACATCAAGGATGTCATCTCTATAAATCTGAGTATTCTCGGTTCCCCTTGGAAAGACATGGAGGTCTGTGCGTCCACCCGAAAGATGCCGCCCCTTCTGTATGCATCTCTTTCACGGATGTTTGACGGATGATAACGGGTTCTAGGTTCTCTCCATATCAAATAACGCTTTCTAGACTAAACCTGGACTCATACGTAAAGAGAACCGCCCTCCATTGATCAGACGTCCAGTGGACATGTTGTCGTGCCCACTGAAAACGGTCCCTCCTATGGCGTGACGTGAGCGGCACACAAATGGCTGGTCGCCTCGCATGCAGACCACCTTCGTGAAGCCTTCTACGTACAGTTGACGTTGACACGAACCTTCCGGTGGCTGCAGCAAGGGAGGATCTAAGAAGAATCGGAGTAGCGGTTCTATTCCTGCGTGCACATAATGTCAAATATCGGTCATCGGCGCTCGTTATAGCAGTTGGCCGTCCTTGGCTGAACCTCCTAGATACCAAATCTGTTGTTTGAAATTGCTTTCAAAGTCTATGAACCACAGAAGGACTCACATTTAGCCATCTGGCCACTTCTGTTTGACTTTGTCCTGCCTCTAGTCTCCCAATGGCTCTCCATCGCAATTCTGCAGGCAAATGATGCCTGTAGGTCATTGTTACGAATTAGCTATCTCAGATTTCTGATGTCACTGTCACTTTGAAATGTGAAATATTTGGGTTTGCTCTCAAACATGGACTTTTATGCTCCTCGCAGATGACGTATTCTGAAAGCAGAGCCACTATTTTGCATATCACAGTTTTACTCAACCACTCTTACTTGGCAGCATATTCAAATTTTACACGGTTTGGCTTATTTTTGAGGGAGTTATTGCTATTTTTGTGATTTTTCCTTATTTTATGATAACCAGTGTAACTCAACTAAAGTACGAGATGTATGCAAACACGCTCCTGACAAGCTTTGGCGACAAAAGTTTCGGTAAGTTAGGAACTTTCATGAAAACGCTTTTTCAAAGACCTAGGACCGATTTTTCCAGAAGCTTTCTGAAATCAGTGCAATACTATATAAGTATGAAGTCCAAAGACTACTGACTGTCAGGAGGAATAGTGTATGACTAACCTATAACTACTGTCTGCCAGGAGGAAATAGTTGCTACTCAGCTTTGAGAGAATGCGATTCAAAGAGAGTTAGTAGAATCATGCTGTAGAGAGACTTTACCCTGCGAGTGATAGCTTGAATTTGTGACATCGTTGTATTTTTTCCAATAAATTATCAGTTCCTTTCTGCTCAGCTGCAGTGATTGTGTAAAGAGACACCACTGAGCCAGTAGCTAGTAACAATATTTACCATATTTTAATTTACTATGTTATTGACTATTTTTCTGTATATGTTAGTAAGAGATAATTTATTATGATAACAGATTTTGAAGTATTTGCTTTAAATGCAGTTCAGCAAAGCGTATTTATAGAGATGAATCCTTTGTTTAAATTTTGAAAGTTGACTGGCTAAGAGCTAATTGCACTGCAACGTTAAAGAATGGCATAATGCAGATTAATTTTCAGATATTATGCATTTTAGATTCCATGAAGGGAAGTAGTCAAACTGAAATGAGGAATTGAAAGCAATATTGATAAAATATAGCAATTTTCTTTCAGATTTTATATCTTACATATGAGATAAAAGTACGTAAATCAAAATTATAGCTTAAATTAGCAAAACGTCTTAATTTCTCATTTTAATTTGAATATTCCCCCTCTCTATGCCAAAAATAGCAATAACATTTTCTGGACTGCGTAATTTCTATATTAATCCATCACATTTGTTTTATATAACGATGATAACGTAATTAATTCGGAACTCACTATTTCGGGAATTAAAACCTTTTTCTTAATACGCTTTCATATTGGATAACTACACACTTGCTTTTTGTACCTCGGCGTAGACAGACTGCTTGCTGCTTCCCTTCTTTTGCAAAGTTATCGAAAACGTAAATATTTTGAAATAGCACGATTAAGGTGAATTATGGCGGCAAATGTTAATTGAAATAACAATGAATATTTAATCTGCCTTGGCTGTAAAGTTTGCTTTTCGTTATGGGTCAACATTGGAACATCTACGCTGTTTACTGGGCGTTAATCAAATGGCGCCGAAATACGAAAGATTGTGTTGTTTTTGAAAAAACGTTTTGAGTTCAACTATTTGTAATTTATACATATCACAAAACGTAAACGTACGTTAATTAAATATTCATACATAAATATTTAATAATAATCCGATAACATAGTTCAATTCAAAATAAGTATTAAAACAGTTATAAGACAGCTACATTCTAACGACCGAATTCTATGGACGACAACTTGAAAGTGTGTGTTGCCACTGCAGGGCGATGAATAGATGTAGATTTATTATGAGAGGCTTAAAAGTAAACGTACACGACCTCACAATCCACGTCTAGTGTTCTGAATAAGTTCAAGAACTCATTGTACGAGCAGGTAGATGTGTATCTGAAATAGAAGTCAAAGTATCACTCGCAATAAAATGAGATGAGGTTAAGCCATTTAATGCAGTCAGTATAACAATCGCTCATGTAAGTAAGTATTATTATATTTAACTGAAATTTCATTAGTGATTCACAATATTATATTTTAGAGAAGAAACGAATAGAACTTTGAAATAATAGTTTTACAATACACATTTGTACATAAAATTAATGCATTTCTGTACATGCTGAAGTGGTAGCAGATCCAGCTAGCAACTGGAAGATCCGTAACTCGAATCTTGGCCACAGTGTAAGTAACTTTCCATGTTTCTAGCTATAAAAAACATGATGTCTCTACACAAAAAATATTCCTGTCTGTAAAACCGTTTCAAATTTAAGTAAAAGTTGGAATATTTTATGAAGCAATTATAATTTAATCCTCCATCAAAACACCAAATTTTCAAATAAAATCAGTAATTTAAATCTCTTCTTATAGATCAGTTTTAAGTAGATTATGCATTGAAGCAAATAATGTTATGTTGTAAAGTATCGTATTTATCTGAAGGTGAAATATTTATAAAAATGCATCTAAATACTTTAAAATAATACTTAATTCTTTCTCTATATAACTTTTTTAACTTAGTTTTTTCCCCGGTCATGTTTGTTATGGAATTATTCTAAGTGTTTTCTTTTATTTTGTCTTTTAAGAATCCTGGCTTCCTTTTTGGTTTTCTCTATCGCTACTTTATAAATGCGAGTTTTATCAAATGTTTAAAGCCCTTTACGCATGCCATCGTCTGGATTGTTTCAGTATTTGAGACCGACATTAAAGCATTTCAGCCCAACCCTAAAGTATTTCAGATTGACAAAATACAGCTTCATTAAAATACATAATTGTACCCATTGATTCCGTTTTTGAATATATTTTAACGAACAAATGTATATTTAAGGGTTCTGAAATCATCTATATATGAACACAATTTAAATATTATTTTATATGCATTTTAAATGGAACACATTTGCGGTACATTGCTTCACCTAAATCAATCATACTTGAGTTAAACGTTAATTCAAAGTGGTCGTTTCATATTTCTTCCTTTAAAGAGGCATGCCTGTATTAGTTTGCATTTGTTACTTTAAAATTTACAAGTGTGTGGTACTTAAGCATACTATATTATTTTTTTTAAACTGGAAAAAACTGTTTTTACTTTTTTAAAATTAAAATTGAGAAATCAGTGTTTAAAAGAAGTCTTGCAAGGTTATTTGGTAATCGACAATAATTTAATCTTCTTAGACCTGCCAGACGAATTATCGTCCCATCTTTACCATTAAACCTAGAATGCTAAAGTAATATTAATAAAATAAAAATAAAAATAAATTATTTAACTGCCAGTTCCGCTCCCAATTACAGGATGCTAATGTGTTAACAAAATTAACTGCCCCTTCTTGCGGACTGGTCAGACAGCAATCGTTTAAATAATTCTCAAGTTTAAAATTAAAGCCTGACAACGTGCCTCTGTTGCGACGCGAATACTAACGTAATTTCAATCGAAGACACGACAACTTCTACGGCTCGCAACACAGAGCTAAAGCCGGGCAGCAGAATTTCAGCACGGCGGACTGAAGCTGCTAATTCTCTCTCATCGTCTTAAAACCTCATTCTTACTCGTTATTTAAACTCACTTCATTTGCATATTCTGGTGGAGTAGACAAAACAGGAGAAGTGCAGGAAAGATTCGACATAAAAAATAACGTGTTAAATGGAATAACTCTAATAGTCTTACTCCCTTTAAATTAATACATCGTAGTTAACAGTATTATCAATAGCATGTAGCAAACTTCTATATTCTTTCCCAGCTATTCTTTTTGCACATTTTTAATTCATAATAATGGGTATTTATAGGCAAAAGATCTAGAAGCAGGGAGTCCTAAAAGTGTCATTCGATGGGTATTCTTGGAAGCGTTCGTGATGACTTTTCTTGCCGAATGGGGTGACAGATCTCAGATAACCACGGTGATCTTAGCAGCTAAACATGTAAGTATTACACGTTTCCGGATATCTTAAATGTACCTATTCGGAGTAAAAGTAAGTACTGACTTACAAAGAGGAAATATTTGTCGCAGAAAAGAATTTTTAATTATTGTATTGCTAAACTACCAATTTATATTACAGAAAATTAAACTAAATTACATCCATTTAATTTTTGCCCAGAAAATATAATACTTTACTGCATATTATACTTCATGATGCGTAAGTCTTGATAATAAAATCTACTCTTTTAATTCCATTTTTTAAAGAATTTAAAAACAGGGCAATATGCTATTGAAAATTTATCTAAATTTATCTATATAAGTGAGCACTAACTGAGTCATAATTGCTTCATTAAACTCAATAATTATTCAAAAAATTCAAAATTAAAAGTCCGCTGAAGAATTACTTCCACGTAAAAAAACATTAAAAATCATAAGTAATAAAAACAAGTCGCACTGCAGTTATATTTCTTTAATCCGCCCACTAGTGCCCGAGTGGACAGATGAACCCTGGTAGTTCAATACTGGTTCAAACCCCAGCGAATTGATTAGCTGCATGAGCATTTTCAAGGATTTTCTCATGCTTAACGCGTATATGTGTTAATTTCACTTAAAAAATCCTCAAAATACGACATCGTTAGGCCCTCGCGTGCTTTACGATAATCAAATAACGAAACCAAACCGATATCTTTAATCCGAAGCTGTGTGTTTTGACAGCTCCTAAAATTCAGCATATTTTGAATTTGCTGTCATTAGTTTGTGAACATCACAGACGCGCTGTTGGTAGTTTCAGCGTTCCGATGGATATTTTGGTTTCACAATCCTGTTAGTTATAAACGAGTTTGTATTATAACCCTTTAAGAATATCAAGCAAGAAATCAAGAAGTGAAAACTGGTGTTAGTAGTAATAAACTAAAGCATAAATCCTTAGTTACGTTTGAAATAATAGAATTAATAAAAATATTAGATAAAGGAACATTTCCAAAGACACCGTGTGAAAACCATTTTATTGTATCATCAGTTGTATGTGATTTAAAGAAAAGGGTAAGTTCTTTTTTAGCCTTCGAATTGAAAATAAAAGTCAGCAAAGTTAAAAGTTCCGGGATCTTGTTTAGAACCATTAATAAAACCATTCGTTCTTGATCTTTGTTTATACTAATTGGCTGAAAATAACGAAAACTATCGCGATTTTAATTGAGACATCTGCGGAAAGATACTTGAGTGTCCTACACTTTTCTTTTCCTTGCACTAGTTGTATTCCACAGAGAATTTAAACCCAGGTGCAAACTAAAACACCATTTGATGATGATAGTGAATTAGATTTTCTCGCTAGTCACGACATCACTGAATGATTCATTAAATTTTGAAAGAATATTCGTAATTGTTTTATGTGTAAAAGAAATGGTAAAGTACTGAAAAATCCCTGCATAACTGCTTGCCTTGCATAGAATTGGCCAAAATTTTATTAGTCGCAATGTGAAATGAGTAAAAGGAATGAAAAGCAAATGAAAATCGCATCGTAAAAGGAATTAAACAAACAAACGTGCAATTTCTTTGAGTAACAGATACTCAAAATAAACAATCAACTATAGGTGCAAAATACTCTAACCTTTTTTTATTTAGCTGCGAATATGACTAACATACTTGAAAATTGGTAAGTGTTTATCTACAGTGTATTAGAGGTGTAATATTCCCAGTGCTTCATCCGTGAAGTTTAAAACATATGTTCGAGTTGAAATATCATTACGCTTGTCACTAATAGTAACCGAAGCGTAACAAACTTCATCAAGCGAATGAGATTTCTGCTCACTAGGTTACTTAGCGGAGCATAACACACAATAATTATATTTCATTTTGTTTAATATTTGATTTTCAATCTTATATTGCAAAATTTTCAAACATAGAGTTCTCACTTCCGATGAAACGATTACTTCAGCTGAAACTACAGTAATTCAGTTTTCAGTACAAGTTAGGAACTCTTGGTTAAGGAAATCCGATGTGTACGCCACATGACTTCTTATATGGAATATTAAATTATACGCAATTTTCCTGCATGTCATTTAAACATATTGAATTGACAGTTAACGAATTTTGAAGTAAATCTACTTACTTCAAAATTAGCAAACTTACTTCAAAATGTCGACAGCGCATAAACCACAATAGAATAATGCACTCTTTAAAGTTCACTATATTTATCTATACCATAGCGATACTTCGGCGCTTGGTTCACTTAACAGAATCTCATTCGTTTTATAACTCATTTATAAAATGAGTTATAAATTCAATTAATATATCATTTTAAATCCGTTACATCTAATTCATTTTATAACTCAAAGTGCACAAAAATTGTATCAACTGAAGAATTACCACAAGTTCTGTTAAAATACTATAATAAATCTAAAACGATGTGTAAAAGAAATTAAACGAATAAAAAAGAAACAGTTTTTCACAGACCATTCAGCGCCCTTACCTAATGCGCATGCGCTGCTAATTCAGTTCTCACTTCGCGGCAAGGAAAAAATACATAAAAATTCAAAATATTTACATTAAAAATTGAAAGATATAGAAAAATTCAAAATATTTACATTAAAAATTGAAAGATATAGAAAAATATAAAACATCTAGTACAGTTAAAAGAATTAAAAAATAATTTTTACAATTAAAATTAAAGTTTCTACTCAAGAACCGGCTAATAAGTTAAAGAATAATTCCAAAATGAATTAAACATAATTTAATTCGCAATAATAAAAGAAGACGTTACTTTGTTGTAGCGAAGCTTAGTTTCTCTAGATCGGCAACAAAACCATTATCCTGCTAAGTTTCAAATGTAAACAAATATGGCTGCTATGGTAGAAAAATTAGGCTTAGCCGAACCTAAACAACTTTTAAATTGTTGATAATTCTACAACTATAACATGAAGGTTAAAGGCATAAAAATTCTATGTTATACATTCAATTTGCAACCAATACCAACGCATTATCTTGATTGAATAATTAAATATGGCAGCATATGTCAGAATTATCTGCCTACTCGTAAGGATACGAAATATTTCCGAGAGAAAACTTATGTTTTAGGTTTATCTGTATTTTACAATTTTTAATGAAGATGTTTTGAGTTTTTATGGTTTTTACGTATTTTTTTGCCTTTCCTCGAACTAAGAACTAAATTTTTTGAATGAGAAATACATCTCTAATGAATTTCGAGGAAATGTAGCAAAAATTATGTATAGCTTAATAAACCGTACAAGGAAGTCATGTGGCGTACACATCAGTTTTTTTTTTTTTTTTTTTTTTTTTTTTTTTTTTTTTTTTTTAATGTGAAAGGCAGAAATATTAGCAGTAAAAACTCTTAAAAAAAAGATTTTGATGCATCAAATCTTTGACCAACAATTATTGAGACGCTTCGGAAATTGTTGCCAATTTATGCAGCGTAAAAATTTTTATGGTATTTCTGTAATTAGTTGATGAGAAAGACATTTTCAGCAGCTATTGTAGCATCATAATCGTTTATCACAGTTATGCATCAAATTGACGTAATAGTGTGGTAAACAAAATTTATCCCTATCAGCTATCAACAGTTGCTAATTCGGGGTCCACATCTAACATACGTCACAGTTTTTGGCCGGTCAGGAGCCCAAATAATGATTTGTCCGTTTGCAGCTTTTGTTTGTCTTAACCCTATCATGTACGATAAGAGAAGAAGCATCGCTGATGGAAATACTAGCATATAAAAAAAAAAAAAGCGAGATAAGTCGCAAGCTTAAATGCTAAAGTGAAGGTCACTGCGAAAAGAATATCGGTAAAACAACCAAAGAAAGAAACTGTTGCGTTCAGCTGTTTTAACAATTATAGAAGGTTAGTCAAGTCTAATGAAGGCAATTAAAAGGGCTTTTTTTTTTTTTTTTTTTTTTTTTTTTTAACGTTGTGTTACCTTGTAGGGAATCCTCCATTTTGTCTATTGACTAAGTGTGGAGGAATTTAGTGAACTACTAAGCGAATAATCGCTTAAGTCCAGAAACAGAAACGTAAAACTCATGAAGGGTTAATTACCCTTTATTGCTCACGCTAAAGGCGTACATACGGTCCCTTTCTCAGAACGTATAACAAAGCCTCCACGTGGGCTTAAAGTCAAAAGTAATAAGAACGTAACACTAACAACTAATTAAAAAGGTTTAGCCGAAGCTAACACAGTTCTAGTCCAGTTCTAAGTAGTTGGCCCCTAAATATCGAATTGGGTAGCGAAGCTACTATCAAGGGCACGTAATGCGGCGGAGCGTAGTAACAGCTTTAGAGTGACGTAGCCAAAAGGCAAACGCGTGATATTCAGGAAATTGAATTCTCTCTACCGAAGTCAGTGGAACTTCGACTTAAATACTACTTTTTTTTTTCAATGGCAGATTGTGAACAATTACAAATGTAACCCAGTCCATTAATCTATGCAAGGCTAGATGTGGTGGTCTCTTTATTGTGGAGGCACCTAATAGGTGCACCATCATCGCCTTTTCCTATGAAGGGACGGACAGTTACAACCATGCCTTCTCCGGGATTCGAACACCCACACACATACACATAAACAACAATAACAAAACAAAAACAAAAACAAAAAAAGAGAGAGAGAGAGAAACCTCGCCCATAAAATATCCCTAATTGAAGATGCACGCGATGTTACCGGAATGCTTTGAAATCTTTGAGTTTTCTAATCAAAAATTCGTTTAAGTTTACCAAAATATGAAATAGATAATAAAACATATTCCAAATTTGGGCTTTCAGATGCCCATATTCGAGTGGAGTACTAGGTTATGCAAAATTTGACGTCTCTAGGTACCGTTGTCTTTTCACAATGAGAGAAACATACATATAGTCAAGCGGATTCTTCATTATTTAATTTCTTTAAATATAATGTAGGGCTCTAATATTTGGCGGCAACAATTTTAAAAGTGACTCTGTAGTGAACCAACGCAAAATGCCAAAACGAAATGAATAGCGCTTCTGAGCAAATTCCCC